ACAGCTAAAAATCTCACAAATGTGGACTTCCACTGTGAAACAGCTACATAAAATCACAGCGGCATACTATGGATTAATCCGTTGTCCTGTACATGTTGTTGTTGTAGCTGGCATTTTTACTAATGCATTTCTACAAGACTAAACATGCAATTGCTGTTTATTTCATGTGTGCTTTCCCCCCAACATTTACTTGGAGATGGTTCTTCAGCAAGGACTGGTCATTGGGGATGTCACTAATCCACCCCCAAACCAAGTTGCTTTTAGGGCTCATCAACAGGGATACTGCAGAATTAGATTTACTTCTGCAGTGTTTAGTCTTTACTTGCAGCTAGTGTGAAGCTGTGTTCATTTTGTCATCTTTATGCCCAAATGTATCATAGGATCTCTTACTCTCACTCACACTTTTGTGATTTCCTCTTATAACTGTAAAATAATCCAATAAGGTATGTCTTCATACATGTTAGAGGCTGGAAGGGTGTTCATGAAACATTCCCATCTGTAGAAGGTCACATTTGCTCCTTGTATACATTACCAAATGGGCCCCAAAAACTTTTGGAAAGGGGAGTGACACGCCTTTAGTCACTCCCACCTGGTGAAGAGCGAAAGCCCATCTGCATAAAATTGATTCTCCCCAGAAGCAAAAGAGTTCCTGAGTGCTGGTGCCTGAGAAGGGGGAGGGTGGAAGGCAGGGTGGGGAGTTCAAGAAATCCCTAGGGAAGAGGGGATATTTTGTGGCCCCAGCCAAAGCTTGGAGAATCCATCTAGGCCTCAGCTAGGGCAAGCTAAATGAGTCTGACAGGATGCTAGCTAAGAAAAGCCACGTTCAGAGAAATCACTGGTTAAAACAGGGGCGGGCAATTATTTCAGGCAGAGGGCCGCTTGCCCAGTTTTGGCAAGCTGTTGATGGCTGCATGGGTAGCCCCACCCATTGACAGGTGCCCCACCCCCTGGTCACCATCTTGGGCCCAATGTCCGAGTGTCTTGGGACCAATGTCCCAGGGCCAGCACCGGTGGGGCCCAGAGCGGGGTGCAGGCTGGCAGGGGTCTGTTGAGCCAGGCTGGGCTGCACCAGCAGGGAGAGTGGGGAGCTGGCCTGGCTCCATAGAGCCCCTGCTCTGGATCCTGCCAGCGTTGGACCTGGGACACTGGTGTGGGCCCCACACTCCTGCTCACTCCCAGTGCCCCCCAGCCCCGTGGTACAGGCTGGGGGCAGCGTGCAGCCCTGACCCTGCACTCACCGGCAGGGAAGGAGCTGGTGCAGAGTGCAGGGAAAAGCAGCCCTTCACCCACCCTATGGCCAGTGTTCCCTGCTCGCAGCCTGTGCGGGGCTCTCCTGAGCAGGCACAAGCAGCCCCACAGGGCTGTGAGCGGCTGCAACACAGGGTGCCAGCCACAGGGTGGGCAAGGGGCCGCTTTTCCCTCCATGCTCAGCACCAGCTTGTAACCCGCCCCCGCTGCCAGCCTGGCCCCGCGCCGGCTCCAGGCTCGTGCTGGGCAGCCCAGAGGTGGCAGTGGCAAGTCGGGGGGCCACAGCTGCTGCTGCTGTGCAAAGCCCCAACGGGCGAGCCTGAAGCCGGCACAGGGCCCAGGCTGGCAGTGGGGGGTGGTTTACAAGCTGGTGCAGAGCGTGGGGAAAAGTGGCCCTTCACCCGCCCCATGGCCAGTGCCCCGTGTTGCAGCCGCTCGCAGCCGGTGTGTGGCTGCCTGTGTCTGCTCAGGACACCCCTGCGTGTGCTGCAGCAGGCCACAGGGCAGGTGAGGGGCTGCTTTTCCCTGGACCCCTTCTCTGTCCAGGGTCCTCCTCACCCTCCACCCCACCTTACCTGAGCTTCCTGCGCTGGGGCAGCCACATGGTCCCAGGCCAGAAGCCCCTGCTGGGGCTCCCGGCTGGGGGGCAGGGCTGGGCAGGACCTGCTGTTGCAGGAGTCCTCTGGGCTTCTCCTGGGTCCTACTGCCCCTGGTTTCTGTCATTTTTTACAGGCTCCAAGGACAGATCAATATTAATTTTCTAAATTTTTTCTAGGGGCCCTGTGGGCTGGATAGAATGGCCTCACGGGCCAGATGCGGCCCACAGGCCATATTTTGCCCACCCCTGGGTTAAAAGGATTACTTTGGAGCTGTTTCTAGATAGAGAAGGAAGGTGAAAGATTGTATTTTTGACCTTCTATTTTTGTGTCTCAAACTACAGTTACTTTTGCCTGCATTATTTATCTTTCTGTAACAAAACCTTTTTTTCCTGTTTTACCTTACTGATTCTCTGTGGCAAGTGTGATCACAAAGCAGTGGGTGCTTCAGGCATTCCTCTTCCTCAGAAGGAGGGGATCTGCTTTCTTATCTTTGCAAACCCAAAGAGTGTCAGAGCTTCCTTCACTGGAGCTGAAAGGGTCTGGTCTGGGGCAAAGGAGACTAAGCTTGGTTTGGGGTGAGGAGTCACCCCAGGAGCAAGATCTAGTCTGTCCCTTAAGACACACAGCAGAACAAAAAGGAGAAGCTGGGGCTCTGACCATCTTAACAACGTGGGGCTTGTCACAGGGGATTTACATGCGAGTTGTAGTTATGCTGGGTTTGAGTACCCAGCAAGTTTTTTCTTCCTCTCACTGTATTTAAAAAAAAAAAAAAAAAAAAAAAATATATATATGATTACCCTGAGACCAGTTTCAGTCATCAAGGAGTTATCAGTCAGTTAATGAGCAGCTGAAAATAGGCTTGTAACAGAAGGCCTGATGTAACTCTCACTCCTGAGTTAACTAGAGAGTGAGCAGTCATCGCTGTTATCTCTGCTAGCCTGATGGGGAGATGGATAAGTGTGTTGCAGTAGGACCTTTCCTCTCTGCTACATAGGCAGAAGAATGGTTCCCTCTGTCACAGATACTGCAAGGTCCGTTTTATATTTCAATGTGTGTATTAGGTGTAAGTGATCATGCTGGCTGTGTGATTCGAGGTATTTGCAGCTGTAGCTGACTGCTATGTCTGAACACAGGATGCAATCAGCTCACTTAGTTATTTGTACAAGTACTGGGGGTTTTTGTGTGCAGCTGTGAAAACCCAGCTTGTGAGCGTGTGTGTGTCAGGCATAGACCTTTGTGTGCTTCTGTGTTCTGAGAGCACAGGGTGCTGCAGAGTTGTGTCTGTGCATGGGCGTGCTGGGTGCATGCGTGTCTGGATCTGCGCATGTACACAGTGTCATCCCCAAAGACCTATTTTTAGAAAGAAGATCTGATTGTTAAACTCACTGAGAGGGTGTTTCCCTGTCTCATCCGATCCGCTCGGTGTGGTGATGCAGTCAGTGGAAGGGGCCAGATGACTAATTTTTCCCTGGCAGGGCGTGTCTGTATTAATCGGTTATCTCTGTGTGTGCACGCGTGGTTTATCTGTTACCTGGCCATGCTTCATGTGTTAGTTTTATTACCTTTGGGAGTGCTGATGTGAATCTCTGATCTTTTTTAAAAGTGAATTTCTGACTGGTAGAAGGTGCAGACCTGGCAACCAATAGACTTAATCCCCACTACTCTGTCCAGGTTCAGTGGAGACTATAGCCAGACAGATTGATCGCCACAGCCTGGCCTCAGATGGGCCAGCACTAGCTATGAATGGAAGTAGAATTTAGTCCTGGGTACAGCCAATGAGGGCTAGCAGGGAGGGTGACTTTTCTTTTAACCTGACACCCTGGTTGGTAGCATACTAGCTCATCCCATATAAATTACCAGATATTTGATATAACAACAAAGGCACTGGGATAGGATCCCTTCGTATAATTGCTGCCCACCTTCAGCAAGTGTGTTTTATTTTTATGAAAAGAAATATGGTCTTAACCCGTGAAAGGACTAGAAATCAAAAGACCCTGGTTCTTATTTCCTGCTCCTCTGAAGACTCATGGTGTGACTTTGGACAAGTCATTTCTCTTTGTGTGCATCTCTCTGGTTTCTGAGTTTGGAGATAATATTTATTTACCTGTGGTGGGGCTTTGTTAAGTAAAAGGCTTTGTCATACTTAGGGAAAAATGTGTTAAAGAAGAGTAAAATCTAATTTATATAATTACTGCTTTTGAAATGGTCTGAGTCCTGGCCTAATGAGGTAGATAAAATTACGTGTATGTTGTACTACATAAGCATGTGGGCTTTTAAATTGGCAGGCAGGGCTGGGATTAGATATAATGTCACGTGATGCAGAAAGAGGTAGCAAGCCTTGAGGAAGACATTCACCGCTTCCCCACACATTTCCAGTTATGAACTGTTCAGGTGGGGTTATGTAGCCAGTGGCACTCAGTCCTGACTGGCTTAGGAGCCATGTGAGCAGTCAGCATTAACCAAAGACCCACGACAACATCTATGCCCTGCAAAGTGTGACAAATATTCCCATTTAAATGAAAAAAATGATGGTATTGGTCTATAAGTAATAGAAGCAGATAGCATGTGTTGGGCATTATTTATAATTGCAGGAAAGACATAATGCACACAGCTAAAGAAACAAGTTTAATAACATTTTCTGTGACGAGCCCTACATGATATGTTGATGAACCACCTGTGGCTCAGAGAAACAGTCTTGAATATTGCTTGTAGGGTGTGATGTAGATACACTGCTTCCTCCTTAGCTGTGATCCTACATCTCTCCTGAGGAGCTAGACTTGTCAGGTTATCGAGCGAGGGGGCAGTCCCTCAGGGTACCATCCTAGGCCTGTCTTGCTAAGGGGATGTGGTCATGGTACGACTAGGATGCAGCTGGTGGAATAGTCCTATCTCTGTGAAATACCTTCCTCCGCTGTCCAAAGAATTTTACCTGAACAGAATCGGGCTACTCAGAATAGAATTGTGCCCCTAAGGTTACCATGCCAGGTCTGTCCTGACTTTGAGATGTTATTTGCAAGAAGAATGCACTGTTGTATGTAAGACAGTCCCTATAGATGTTTTGTGAGGGGTTAGGGAGGGCATCCTTCCCCTCTGTTATCTGGGTACAATTTGCTTGTATCATTAGGTCCCATGACTGTTCCTTTCTCCCCACAGACGCTCTTACTTCCGGCATCATGGCCTCTGACCTGGAAAGCAGCCTGACTTCCATAGACTGGCTCCCCCAGCTCACCTTGCGAGCTACTATTGAGAAACTAGGGGGTTCCTCACAGTCAGGACCCCCAGGGGCTGCACGAAAGTGCCCCCCTGGATCCCCCACTGACCCTAACGCCACTCTGAGTAAGGATGAGGCTGCAGTGCACCAAGACGGGAAGCCACGTTACAGCTATGCCACGCTGATCACATATGCCATCAACTCGTCACCTGCCAAGAAGATGACACTCAGCGAGATCTATCGTTGGATCTGCGACAACTTCCCCTACTACAAGAATGCTGGTATCGGATGGAAGGTGAGGAGCATGGAGTCTGCAATGCCATCTCCACCAGCTTGAGAGACCTCATTTTCCCCCTCCGTAGAGAGTGTTCCCTGAGTAGGGAAAAAAAGCCAGGCACAGAAGTAGATGGCCATCTGGAGGAAGCAGGGTTCCAGATGTCTCCTAATTTCCCCTGGAGTATTTGAGTGTTGAGGAACCCCGTCCTACTAAGAAAGGCCTACAAAAATACCTTCTGCTAATCTGTCCCTAGCCCAAAAACCATCCACACTTGCCCCTCCATGGGTATACAAAGAGGACCTTAGCCTCTAGCAGTGTAATTTCCTCTGCTTTCCCTAGTTTCTCGCATCCCCATCCTGGGAATATACAGACTACTTGCCTCCTCTCGGCCCTTTTTCTTTTTCACCCTTTCTTGGTGAAGGCTGCATTATGCTCTGTGGTTATCTACACAGTATTTATCTGCATCTCTCCACAGAACTCCATTCGCCACAACCTGTCTCTAAATAAATGTTTCCGGAAGGTGCCTCGGCCGAGAGATGATCCTGGGAAGGTGAGAAATTCATACGTTTCCAGACAAGTAGCTTAAGCTGTGGGGAAGAATCCAGGGTCTCCTCTTTTCCTGCTGTGGTTAGAATTCTGAAATATATGAAGTGTGATGCATTGAACATTAAGCAGAAGAAGACAGGGAGATCTTTACTTGTGTTCAGTGAACACAGAATTGTTCATTAAAAGGGTGCTCTACAAAGGTGCATAAGCAGGTGTTAGCCCCCTTTTTTTCCTGTTCTGTGATTTTTAATTGGCTTGGAAGGTTTTTGCATGGTTTTTTGTTTTCTTTTTTTTTAAGAAAAAATTAAAAATGTATTTTTTCTGTTTGTTTTTTATATTTAAAAATGCAGTTCTTGTCTAACCAGTTCTACGTGAAAAACTTTACGGGTAACTGGAGAACTGGAAGGACTATGACATTGTGGCTTTCAGGGAAATGAGAGCGAAGGAAGCAAGAGTAGAACCACTGTTCATATGGACTTTAAAATTTGGGGGCTGAAAAAAATATTGCATTTAGCTCAGGTGTCTTAAATACTGGTAAGAGTGCTTTTTTTTTACCTCAGCTCATTCAATAAGGACTGACAGAACTCCAGGTGTAGAAAAGGAATAGAAGGTCTGTAAGGGAAAATTCCAGCAAAACTAAAAGTGAATATTGTTAAGGTGAGAAGAAAAAAGCAGAGGAGTTGGGGCCTCCAGAGGTTTCTTTCTCTTGCATCATAAAATTGCAACAACCCCCCAAAAAAAAAAAAAAAAAAAAGGCCTCAAGTCCAATGCCTTTTCTTTGCTAGTCTCCTTTAAGGGCTTGGGTCTTCAGTTAACATAATCTAGGTATCTGAGTAAAATTAGGTGGGTGTCTGCTGGTTGTGAACATTCAGGTTGGTTTAATACTCTGTTTTAGTAAACATGGATTGGTTGCATGATGTAGGTGCATATTAGGTAGGGCTGTGCGAAATTTCGCTGGGTGTTTAGTTTTGAAGCTGTTTTGATGCATTTTGAGCTCGAAACAGTGAAATCGAAACGAAACAAAAGCCTTCAAAACGAAACAAGGGCATTCGAAACATTTAGAGTTTGCAGCTGGGCTTACTTGGCTTCAGTGCCAGTCCCAGCTAGCAGCGGCAGCCTTCTGTCATCGGGTGCTCAGATCCAAGGGGCTGCACCCCCCCAGGAGGAGTCTGGCACAGCCCCACAGCCCTCCTGGGGGTGCAGGCCCCCAAATCTGCGCAGCAAATGACAGCATGCTGTTGCTATCAGCTGGGGTCAGCGGCAGCAGCAGTCTTCCCAGTCTTCCTGGGGGCAGATCGGGAGGACTGTGGGGCTGTGCTGGACTTCTCCCGGCGGTGTGGGACCCCGATCTGCATGCCGGATGACAGGAGGCTGCTGCTGCCTTCTAGGACCGGAGCTGGGCACAGCCCACGCCCAGCACTGGGAAGATGCCCATGCTCACCTGCTCACTCCCAGTGCCCCTGCTTCAGCTCTGTGGTACAGGTAGGGAGCAGCATGCAGCTCCGACCCCGTGTGCCCTGCAAACTGGAGTGAGCAACAGCAGCGGGGAACGAGCTGGTGCTCAATGCGGGGTGGGGGAAGCAGTCGCTCCCCCTCCCTCTCCCTGCGGCCAACACCCCATGCTGCAGCCACTCACAACCTGGGCAGAGCTGACCTGCCTCTGTCGCATCACTGGAAAGCAGGCACAGGCAGCCCCGTGCAGGCTCTGAGCGGCTGTAGCACCGGGCGCTGGCCACGGGCAGGGGGAGCGGCCACTTCTCCTCCACGCTAAGCACCAGCCCTTTCCCCACTGCTGCTGCTCCAGTACACGGAGTTGGGGCTGTGCGCTGCTCCCTGCCTATACCATGGCGCTGCAGCGGGGGCACTAGGAGTGAGCAGGTGAGTGCAGGGTCTTCCTGGTGCTGGGCATGGACTGTGCCTAGCACCAGTCCCAGGTGGCAGCAGCAGCCTCTTGTCATCTGGCATACAGATTTGGGGGCTCACCAGACCCCCAGGAGGGCTGCGGGGCTGTGCTGGACTCTTTCCAGGGTGCGGGCCCCCAAGCTGCATGCCAGATGACAAGCGGCTGCCTCTGGGGCCAGCGGCAGCACCAATCTTTCTGGTGCTGGGTGCGGACTGTGCCCAGTGCTAGTTCCAGGTGGCAGCAGCAGCCTCCTGTCATCTGGTGCCCAGATTGGGGGCCCATACCCTGGGAGGAGTGTCTGGCACAGCCCTGCAGCCCTCCCGGGGGTGTGAGCGAGCCCCCAATCTGCGTGCCGGCTAACAGGAGGCTGCTGGTGCCACCTGGGACCGGTGTTGGGCACAGCCCGTGCCAAGTGCCGGGAAGATTGGTGCTGCCATTGGCCCTAGCTGGCAGCGACAGCATGCTGTTATCTGGCGCACAGATCCGGGGACCTGCACCCCTGAGAGGACTGCAGGACTATGCCAGACTCCTCCCAGGGGGCTCAGGCCCCCAGATCTGCGCTCTGGATGACAGAAGGCTTCCGCAGCTGTCTTGGGTCAGCGGCAGCATCAGTCTTCCCAGCGCTGGGCACTGGTTGTGCCCAGCACCGGTTCCAGGCAGCAGCAGCAGCCCTCTGTCATCTGGCATGCAGATCTAAGGTCCCGCACCCCTGGGAGGAGTCTAGCACAGCCCCACAGCTCTCCCAGGGGTATGGGCTGGATCTGCTGGCCGGCCGATAGGAGGCTGCCGCTGCCAGCAAGTGTCACAAGTTCTGCTTTGAACAGTTTAAGATTCAGTTTCCCAGAAATCTCTGCACCTATCTTCTTGAAACTTGGCAGGCTCCATGCCCTCAGAAGGGGCTACCATCCCTGCAAGTTTCATCTGAATCAGGCAAGAAATGACCATGTTTTAGGCATTTTCATGATTCCCCATTATAGCCTATGGGCAAAACATCGAAACAGTTTTGATGAAACTAAACAGAACAATGCTAACAAAACTCAAAACAAAACACTGTCCCAGCAAAATGGGAAAATGGAAGTCGAAATGAAACGGTGCTGTTTTGCACAGTCCAGATCTCCCTAGGAAGCTGACATGAAACTGGCCACACTCTGGAATTTCTTCTGTCCTGATTCAGAAAATGATCCACTAATATGCTTATAGGTTGTCTTGCCCACTCTGGTCATTTGTATCTGATTGGTCTATACTTGACTTAATAACAAATTTTGTGAGAGGCAGAAGACAATGATGAACTTGTTTTAGCAAAAGGGAGATGGTAATATGTGGTCTGGCTTACCACACTGGATCAGACCATTTTGTTATCTTGTCTGGTGAGAACCATAACTTAGTGGCTTCTTTGTGACACTTCAGAGGAAATCATGGGTTAATAGCATTATATCTCATTGGGCAGTAGCAAAGTAGAGGAAAAAAAATTTCCTGCCATCCTGCTGGCAGTCAGCTCATGCCTTGAGAAGAGTATGTTGATGGTTTTGACCTTTAACACATTAGTTTGTGCTGTATGCTATGGGTCTGTTATGCCCTGTAGTAGAGAGTTCCTAAGGCTAATTCTGCTGTCCTCTCACCATTGGGTTGTTTTTTTTCCAGGGTTCTTACTGGACAATAGACACCTGTCCAGATATTTCTCGCAAGAGGCGGCACCCTCCAGATGATGATGTGAGTATGATTCTTTCCTAAGAGCAGATGAAATTACATGGGGATCAGAATTCCCTTCTTGCTCCAGGAAAAGGGAAACCTTCCAGGGCTGTATTGTCATCATACTGGGGAAAGTGGAGTTTGTACAAGAAGGAAAAGTCTGGGACCAGATGAGTCTGACTTCTCTGGTCACACCATGTGGCTGCTATTTCTCTCACCCAGAACCAGTCTTTAGCCTTGCCTGGCACAAGCCTGAGACCTCTTGAATGTTCTTTAACTCCCAGCACTGCCCCCCTCCCACTCCTTTTTAGGGCATGTGGTAGTACAAAGGGGGAGCCAGATTCTCATCTGCAGTTTCACTTTTCCTGCTGTTTCTGATTTCTTCCTTTCTTCTCTCATTCCCTCTCGCCATCCACAGATACCACAGGACTCCCCAGAGCAAGAGGCAAGCAAGAGCCCCCGGGGGGCTGTCCCAGTCAGCACAGAAGCTTCTCTTCCCCCCGAGGCCACCCCCCAACTATCACTGCAGACCACCAGCCCCATTGCTAACTACAGTCAAGTGAGTGACAGGGAAAAAGAAGGTAGTATAAAAGTGATATTGTAGCCATGATGGTCCAGAAATTATGTGAGGGGCAAGAATTTTTTACGGTGATATCTTTTTGGACCAATTATCTAGTTGGGTTAAAGTTAGACAAGCTATTGAATGCAAGAGAAGGGGCAGGAAAGAAGTGGCAGAGCAGGTAAGGGAGAAGAAGTGGAGAGAGGATAGAAACAGGAGGTGGCTTCACTATTGGGAGGAAGAAATACAGAGAAGAGGAGCAGATGAGGGATGAGGAGAATGGCAGGTGGGTTGAGAGGCGGCTGGAGGATAGGGAGAATTAGCACATCCTGGGAGGGGAGAGGTGGGGAGTACTCACAGCCTAGTGCGAATGTCTCTGTTGGGAGAAAAACAGGTGACAAGAGACTAGTGCCTTTTTCTGGTGTATCCCCTCCTTCCTCAAATCTTTCTGTGGAGTTACAAAGTTGTATATCTTTCCCTCCTCTACCCATCATGTATGATCCCCAGCAGGGTGCGGGGCCTGTGGATGCAGCATCCACTGTGGCAGGGGGTCAGGGCCGCGAAGGGGCAGATGTACCACCCCCACTCTACAGCACCAACCATGACTTCAAGTTCTCCTACTCTGAGATCAACTTCCAGGACCTGAGCTGGTCCTTCCGAAACCTCTACAAATCCATGCTGGAGAAATCCTCCTCTTCCCAGCACGGTGAGTACCAGAACTATGCACCTAATGCACCCCTTTTTATCGCCCAATTCTTCCTTTCTAGCAGCCTCTGAAAATGGGGGTCTCTTATTTAGAAATATTCTAGTTCTCCTCTCGGGTGTATTTCATGTGCAACCCTTTCTCAGTCTCTCAGCCCCCATCTCTTTCTACAGAACTAACAATTATTTTAAAATGTATAATGCTGACACATTGGGAACAAAAGGAGGAACAAAAGTGCCTGGAAGGCTGGAGGAATCTGCTTCTGAAGAAAGGCTTGACAGAAAAAAATGTGGATGTCTACTGTCATGATCCAGAAATGCGGGTTTTTGTCAGAGGGAGAAGGTTGTTAGAAACAAATTGTAGAAGAGCCTCCACAAAGGGAAAGGGTAGGAACATTGGCAACGTGTAGGGGGTGCACACAGGTGCACATGAACTCCCTGAGATCGGCCATGCACCCCCTGGAAGCACCATCTGCAAAACCGGAAGTGCCATCGGAAATGCACTTCCAGTTTTGCTGTTGGTTTGTCGATCAGCCGCTGGGGGAGCCGCCCGCCCCTGGCGATTTGGTTCCCCCCCAGACTCGGGAGGCACCAGTCGCCCATGGGTAGGAAGCCCCTCTCACATTGGTTCCTGAAACCTGGAGTTGGACAGAACTCCAAGGAATACAGTGCAAAGAAAAGAAGTGGTTGTAATTTTAATGGGTGAAACCAGTAATCCATTCCTGTTCTCTGCATTCTCTGATTCTGAGAACAGCCAGTAGAGGGCAGCCTCACCTTAGGGATATGAACAGGGGGCACAGAAGAAACCCTGAAAACAATTCCTACTTGCTGCTTTTGTGTTTAGAAACATGCTTTTGAAATATTGAGCTGATGTGGGACAGTCTGTATTAGTAAACCAGGGCCATGCCTGTACTGATAATCATAAGTTCTTAGTCTTTCTAGGCTGCAGTCATAACACTGCTAACAGCGTTCAGACAAACCTGCATGCAGAAGGACTTCTGTGGTTCGTGACTTAGCTGGGTTATTGGCATTGCAGTAGTAGCTGGGATCCCCTGTCATGGGCTGGACATTTTGCAAAGAAGGCTAAAATCTCCCACACAGACTGAGTGTATCCAGTCCCTCCAGCTTAGGCAGCTTTGGTACTGGCTAGCATACACTTTCAGAAAATTCATCATGTATTGAGAGATTGTGCTGATGACTTGGTAGCCAGAATGAGCCAGGGTGGCCGCAGAGCCCCAGCCGAGTGGTAGGTGCTCCTAGAGGTGCTTTCTTTGAACAAGATGTAAAACTGAGCTCAACTTCTAAACAGAGATTTAAGGAGCCTCATTGTGGGAGTGAGTAGCATCCTGGTCATGGGGTTCTGTGCCGTTCACGTAGATGACTCAAATCCAGCATGTGGCTGTATTGACTGAAGTACAGTGTGAGGCTGGCAGGTCTTGGTCCTGTTCCTACCATCACCAAAGATAACAGGTAGGCCTTTTTTGTTGGCATTCTCAGCAGATGTGCCAAACAGTCTGATTTTCCCTGTTTCTGAGAGCGTCAGAATTATTGAAGATACTGGGTATGGTTGAGAATTTAGCACTACTTTAAATAAGGCCCCTTATTAAGGAGTATGGCCTGGCTGAAAATGTTGACCGGGAGTGTTCATTCACTCTTTCTGGACAAACTATTGCTCTCAAAAATATTTGAAGCCAAGAGAGAACTTTGGGGAGACAGCTAAAGAGTTTTCTTCCTGTCCTACTGCTGACATGTGACACTTAGCTGTTAAACGTTTACTGCCTTCCTCCCCCTTCCTTTCAGGAAGCCACAATGTCAGTGGATGTGAGTGATCTTCCTACACAGTGGTCTGGGTTGAAAGGTGCTAGATGAGCATTGAGTAACCCGTATTGAGTGACAGAGAGAGAATGTAATGCCAGTAACTTACAAGTGATGTGCAGCAGCAAAGCTGAATGTGCATGTACACTTTCACTGCTGCTGTAGCATGACTTAAGGGTGCCTGAGATGCTGAGGCCGGCTGGAGGCTCTTGGGGTGAGCTGAACGAAACTGCATGGATCCCCTGGCATTGAGTTAGTAGAGCCAGCAGCTGCTATCCCTTCATGACTGTGGGGAGCAGAGCCAGTTGTAGGTGGGCTACAAGGGGAAATATGAGCCATGTGTTTGGGGGGGCGGGGGAACCAACTCCCTCCCAAATCTTGCCATGGTGTCAAGCAACATGGGACTGAGACTGGGTTGCTCCACACATGCTACCTCCTGAACCACCTCAGTGTAGCACCATGAGTAGGGTAGATAGGTCTGCTGAGAGGCAGAGCTTGGGTTCAGTGCCAGTCGGACACAGCCTTGCTGCTTTTGTTCCAGCCTGGGCACACTTAGCTTGGATGTCTCTGCCATATGCCTGAAAAGAATGCCACAGGGCAAGATGGGTCTTGGTGATCTTAAGGTAGGCAGTAGGGTTATGCCAGAGGTTTGGGAGTGGAGTGTACTGGGAGCAGTATAGAACCTAATTCAGCCCTGAGATTAGAAAGTTGAGAACTACTGATCAGGAGACAGAAAGCAGAGTATATTCAGTAGAGATAAGGAGATACAGGTACCACTGTATGATGCATTGGTAAGGTCCCATTTAGAAAACTGTGCTGGTCTGGTCACCAACATTCAATAAAGATTAACTTAAACTGGAAGGAGTTCAAAGAAGGGGTACAGGGATGGTTAAGGGAACAGATACCTTTTCTTATGAAAGATTTGAAGATCTTGGCTTGTTTATCTGAACAGAACAGAGCTTGAGAGGGAACACAATCACTGCACAAGTGCATTTGTGTGGAAAATTATAGTGGGGGGGTGGAAGACGGGATTTTTTTAAAGCTGAAAAATAACACTAAATCAAGATCAAATAGCTATAAAGTGGTTTATGGACAAATGTTGCAAGAAATCCTCTTCTTTTCAGTCTATCAGAGGAGCTAAGTTTTGGAATGATCTTCCAAGCTAAGTAGTTTGGGGCCAAAAATCGGAATTGTTCTAAAACTGAACTCAGTAAGTTTATGGATGGGGTGGTGTGATAGGACAGGGAGCTCTGGTTCAACAATCAGTGTGTGTGTTATGTGGAATCCTGTATCTTCAACCCCTGTATTGGAATATAGAGGTAACCGGTTTACACTGTGGCAAGTGTCTATTAATCTCATGCTCAGGGCTTTTGC